TTTCTCCCATCCGAAGCTGGCTAGTGACATGATCAGGTTGTTAGGGATACTCCATGTTGCTGCTCCTCAGTGTCTGCTCTTGGGTCACTGTCTACACTGGGGCCCTGCCAGGGAATGTGGTGCATCTCTACTGCACGAAAAGACTCTGGCCCTAGCTTTTGCTCCTGCTCCATTGCCACAGCGCCGCCTTACGTGGGCACAGCGGAGAACACGGGAAAGTAGAGTCTTCAGGAGGCCAGGCGTTGAGTGGGGAAAAAGGGAGTTTTGCTGGACAAGGAACCACTTACCACTGTACACAGCACCCTGTTTAGTACATTGCTTAGAATGAGATCCTATTCTCATCAGTTATCTTCAGTATATATTCAGTGTATTTCCTCAGTGAGCTCACCACCTGGAACATACTAGATATGCCCAACCATTGCTTTTTAAGAGAAATACAAGCCAGTAGACCGACTCTTCCTTCAGAGATGTGTTTTTTAAGGGATGGTAGGCTGCAGTGGTACAGGAGGAGTGTTCTCTCTTTTGTTAGAGGGGAGTTATGAGGAAGGGCTGGGAGATCAAGTATCAAGACCTCATCAACCATGAGCATGTCTGTCGGGCATGCATGTGTGTATGAGGTGGTGCATGCATGTGTGTGTGTGTGTATGTGTGTGTGTGTGTGTGTGCATGTGTGTATGAGGAGGTGTATTCATGAATGTGTGTATGTATGAGGGGGTGCATTCATGCATGCTTGTGTGTGGTGCATACATGTGTGTGTACATGTGTGTATGAGGGAGGTACATTCACACACGTGTGTAGAACAGGGGTTGACTGGGGATATCTTTATCATTTTCCACCCTGTCTTTTGAGACTGGATATTTTCACTGGACCTGAAGCTTGTCATTGCAGCTGGATAGGTTAGCTGGTTAGCCTTTAGGGTCCACCTATCCCAAGTCCGTCAGTGCCAGGGTTATAGATGCAGCTGGATAGGTTAGCTGGTTAGCCTTTAGGGTCCACCTATCCCAAGTCCATCAGTGCCAGGGTTATAGATGCAGCTGGATAGGTTAGCTGGTTAGCTTTAGGGTCCACCTATCGCGTGCCCATCAGTACCAGGGTTATAGGTGCACATCACCATGTGGAGCTTTTATGTGGGTGTTGGGGGTCCAGATTCAGCTCTTCATTTTTGGCCATAAGTGTGGGCAATCTCTCGCTATGCAGCAGAAGCCTGAGAGGTAGGTTTTGCTTACAGTGGTGGGGATTCAACTCAGGGCATCATGCGTGCCAGGCAAGTGCTCCCTTACTCAGGGCATCATGCGTGCCAGGCAAGTGCTCCCTTACTCAGGGCCAACTCTAACTGCATGAAGAAGGCTTTTGGAAGCCTAAGTATAGTGTTTCAAAGAGTAGACACATTTTCTTTCCCAGCGTGTTGACTGTTGCCTATTTGTGAGGCTGACGTGTCTCATAGGCAGTGGTTTCCCTCCTACGTCATAAATACTGAAATGAGCTCCGTGAATTCATCAGGTGGTTTTCAATTCTCAGTGAAACATCATTCTAGCAAACTGGAAAGGCACAAGCAGATTATCCCTGGAGGTGGGAAGGGAAGGTTCTTCTTAAAGTTTTGGCTAAGCTATTTGTCTGGCCAGTTTGGAATTGGGCACTGTCAGGTTTGGAGGAGCAAGTACTGGCTAGCCACCCTAAGCAGAGTCCCATTCTCAGTACAGTTGTCCAGTCTGGCTGGCCTTGAGCAGAAGAGTTTCTGGAAGATCTCAGCCTCTAGTACAGGTGGCCTAAGTTTTGGACCTCTTTTTTTTTTTTTTTTTTTTTTTTTTTTTGCTTGTTTGTTTTTCGAGACAGGGTTTCTCTGTATTGTTTTAGAACCTGTCCTGGAACTCACTCTGTAGACCAGGCTGGCCTCGAACTCACAGAAATCCGCCTGCCTCTGCCTTCCAAGTGCTGGGATTAAAGGAATGTGATACCAACACCTGGTTAGACCTCTTTTATTGTTAGCATTTGTTTTCATCTTTGCCTTGTGATATGCTCTTTCATGGAAGCACCTGTCTGTCTTACTCAGGCAGGTTTTTCCTCTCTGGAGTTACACAGTATCATTTTAGATCCTCGCACATCTCTTTCTTCAGATGGTAGGGCATTTTGTGTAAATAGAGTGTCATTTTCACTGCCTAGTTCCTTGAACTAGTGTGTAGGCATGTGATGGTTAGTTTTTGTTTGTTTGTTTTTTTGGTTTTTCGAGACAGGGTTTCTCTGTAGCTTTGGAGGCTGTCCTGGAACTCACTTTGTAGACCAGGCTGGCCTCGAACTCACAGAGATCCGCCTGCCTCTGCCTCCCGAGTGCTGGGATTAAAGGCGTGTGCCACCAAAGCCCGTTAGTTTTAATTGTCAATTTGACGCAACCTAGAATCACTGGGAAGACAGCCTCTGTGAGGGATTTTCTTTTCTTTTATTATTTTAATTTTAAATAGCTTGCTTCACATGTCAATCCCAGTTCCCTCTCCTTCCCCTCCTCCCACACCTCCCTACTATCCCCCCCAGCCTCCCACCCTATCACCACTAGTGTCTGTCATTTCACTCAGGGCAGGGGCCAGGCACTCCCCTAAGAGTCCAGGCTGAGAGAGCATCTATGAGGGATTTTCTAAGCAAGGTTGGCCTGTGGAGGATTGCCATGACTGCCTTAGCTGATGTGGAAAAGCCTGCTCTGAAAATGGGCAACAATATTCCTGGGTTTGGGCCCCGGACTAAGAGTATCCAGCTAAGCAAACGCATGCACGTTTCTCTGCTCTGGAGTGTGGATGTAATGGAATCGCTGCTTCAAACCCACAGTGATGCTTTCTCCCATCAGCTGATTTTTCATTAGGGTATTTTTTTTTTTATCACAGCAACAGAAATGAAATGAGGACATGTTTGCATCTCCCACATTGAAACAATTCTGTCTTAGAGGGAAGGAGGAAGGCAGCTTGAAACTTACTGGTCATAAGTTTAGAAAATGATAAACCCTCCTTCCCAGAACAGCTAGGTAGAGCTGATTGCCAATTAGCCAGGGAGCTCCAAGGATGCAGCTTTGAGAGTGGGTAGTCTCACAAAGTAAGATGAACTTACAAGTGATATGGCTATCTGTGAGCCACCTAAGCTCCTGGAACCCCAGTGAGCTCACTAGTTTACCACTAGGGCAGAATTGTTTCTTTTGGTCTGTGTTGACTCATGTCTTCCCAGGAAAAGTCACACATCACTGAACGACAGGAGTGAATTGCCCTTGAAAGAATATGAAATACCCTTGTGATTCTAGATTGGGGGGCACAGGGATCCCAGTCAGTGCTCCACTAAGTTGTGCATGGTCCAAGTTGAGGCAAATGAAGACTACTGTAGTAAGGATCTCGAATGTCTCCTAAAGATCTATGGGCTAAAATTGTGGTCCACGGGTGATGGGAATTTTAGGAGGTGGGGCCTTGTGGGGGTCCCCAGGTTACTGAAGAGAACTGTGAGTGCCCCTCCTTCTTCCTATCTCAGTTTTTGTTTCCTGGCCATGAGGTGAACACTTGATGGCCTCATCAAGTGTTTCTACCCTCTCCTCAGATGAGAAACAATGGGGCCCATTGATCACAGGCTGGAATCTATAAAAGTCTGAACCACCCCCTCCCAGTGGAAGACCACAAACAACACACACCAAAGACCACCAATCCTTTCTGGTTAATTATTGCTAGCATTTTAAAATTTAAAAACTAGCCCAAGGATTAATGTGGTCTGTGGGTCAGGGAGCTTTAATGTGTGTGTGTGTGTGTGTGTGTGTGTGTGTGTGTGTGTGTGTGTGTGTGTGTAAATTATGGGATGGATCTATCAATGTCTGCACTGAGCCAGAGATTTAGAAGTAACTGTCATTGCACCTGCCCTGATAGTCGCAGTTGTTTGTGGTGAGGGCAGGGATCAGATATGGGAAGCAGAGGTGTGAGTCTCAGGTAAGTCACACCCGATGGGGTTGGTGTCTGTGCCTGGTTGGAGTTCATCTGCCATGGGGAACAGCTTGAAAGGGAGTAGAAGCAGGAAAGACCAGCCTGTGCATGGGCCGAGCAGTCATGGTTCTCTGTGACTGGGCCTGGGTGGGGTTGGGAAGGCTAGACTCGGAGGCAGGGAGTGCTGAGGAAAGGTTGTACTGGGGTGAACCTCTTGGGCTGGCTGCTGTACGGAGCGAGGTTGGGAATGGACGGACTAAGAGCAGGGGTCGAACTGGGAATCTAATGCAGAAATTCAGGCCAGAAATGCCAAGGGTCTGAAGTGACAGGGAGGCCAGATGTAGACTGATTTGAGAGAGGCAGGGAAAGGAATGGGTGGGTTTTAGATACTGAGGCTTTGTGGGAAGAAGGGGCACCAAAGTAGAGCAGAGGACTGTGGGTGAGAAACTAGGCAGGGCTTCAGCTCCTGGTGCAGACCTGCAGGGAAGCTCTAGCTTGGCCTTAGCTAATTGAGCTGGGCTTCACTCTCAGAGGGATATCCCAGACCACAGAGGATGGGGGACGGCACTGGCTCACACACAAGGATTCTCTCAAGTTGAGCTAAGACATCTAGGTGTCTATACCGCCTTAGTGATGCTCCTTGGTTATTCTTAACTCGTAGGGTCTTAGTGAGAATCCAAAACCTAACCTGCTGTATGTAGCTGGGAGCTTGACCTGGCCAAAGCTCCTGTTGCAGTTTCAGATCTGAGGAACAGAGTAGGTAGAACCAGTTCTCTGTATCCTACCGGGTTCTTGATAGTTCAGTTTCAAACCCGGCAGCTAGTCTAACCATAACGCCCCCTTTGCCACCTTCCCTTTCTTAGCGGCAAACATGGAAGGCTCTTCTTCAAACAAAACCACAAGCCCAGCCCGCCACCACTCACCACGTTATTAATTCGTAACTTAACACAAAACAAATGCTTACGAGAAGCAGTTAAGACTTCTCCAAGAATATTTATTTTGAGTGACTAAACTATACACTTCCTGTTCGGCGCTAAGGAAAATTGGTCTGTATTATTCCAGGGAAATGTCAAGACCACTAAGTGTTGGTGCTTTCTGACCTGTGTTCTGGTGAACAGTCTCCACATGGTTCTCATAATAACATACATCAGAGATGGCTTCAACCCGAACGTCAAACTTCATTAAAGGTACAAACCCCCTCAAAGTTATTTTGAATATCCCACAAAACAAGCAAATGCACATCAGCACAAGTCATTTTCCACCCCTTTGGGCGCCTTGTGCTGCAGGGGGTTTAGCAACTTGGTGTGTGTTATTCTAAGGGTGGAAGTTGGGCCCCTTGGCTCTGTCAGAATGACCTCTGCCAGCGGCCAATGGACTCTGGAGAAACTCTCCTGCTTTAGAAAAACATTAAAAAAAAAAACCCCGATGTTCTCACCTCAGCTGATTGATCCGGTGATAACCTGGGTGCACACAGTTCAATTAAACATGAATATGTATTTGTATTTTCTGTGACATGCCAAGAGTCATTCTGCTTTTTTCTTTCTGGGGATTGACACAGGAGGCGGGATTTGTGGAACAGTCTAATTGCTTGAAATCTCAGTTTCATGATGTGTATGTCCCATGTGGATACATCCGGCTGGTAACTTTCTGCAGTATCCTATAGCTGTAGAATGCCGTGCAGGACCAAGGCCTCCTGCCTGCCTTAGCCGGAAGAGGATGAGACGGGCACAGTGAGAAAGGGAGCTAATCTTTGATGTTTCATAATTAAGTGGTTTGACTCTTGTAATACTTTATAGTGCATATTTTATTTCCAAAACGAATGTTTGTATCTGTTTTGGTTGGCTTTGAACATCTCCAAAAGCTGGGTAGTATTGAAAGAGGCCTATTTCTTTCATGTTTTTTAGATATCTTATTTTTAGGGTTAAACTCCAGGGGATAAAAGCTCTTAGGGTTCTGAGGGTAATGTTCTGTTTGCATATGTATGTGATGTATGTTCATGTGCCTGCGTGCTTGCATATGAAGGCCCGAGGTTGCCTTGGATGTCTTCTATCACTTTCCACTTCCTGAATCTAGCTGCAGTTAGGTAGGATGCCTCGACTACCTACCTTTTACTGGGTTCTGGGCCTTTGAACCTTGGTTCTCCTGTTTGTACAAGTACTTTACCATAGAGCCATGCCCCCTGCCCCTGGTTCTGAGTTGATGCATACATACGGATGCCTGATTTTCTCTACTATCTTTGCCTTTTGATACCTAGTATCTTTTCGAAGAAAAGAGAGTGCCAAAAGCTGTTAGAGTTCCTTGACTCACACCACCTCTATTCAAAGTGCTCCCAGTGGGCAGGGTATAACGCAGAAGTCCTGGCTTGCTTAGTGAAGCCATGAATTCTAGCACCGCTAATTACCAAAAAAAAAAAAAAAAATACAATCCCTGCTCTAAACCTCTGACCAATATGGTGCTTTGTTCAAAGGGCTTTAAAATGAAGCCATTCTGAGGATCTGAATTTAAGACACTTTGGAAAGTTATTAGGGCATTGTTTGGTAGGCAAAAAGTTACATTAAGAATTTTGTGCCAAGGGGAAGGAGCCAGGGCGCCTCAAGATGTATCGTCTGACCTCATTCGTGCTGCCCGGGGCCTTGGTCATGTACAGTGGCAGAAGCCTCCAAAGCAGTGCAGTGATAGCAGCCTACAAGTATGTGAGTGTACAGGAGCTTGAGATGGACACGAAGTCCCCAACTGAGCACGCAGCTCGGACTCTGATGTGGACAGAACTTATCCAAGCACCGGGTATGACCCTGAGCTACCTCTTTGGGGAACCTGCCATCATCAACTATCCATTTGGGAAGGGACCACTGAGTCCACGTTTCCATGGGGAACACACATCGCGCGGTTGCCCATCTGAGAAAGAACGCTGCATTGCCTGCAAACTCTGTGAGGCTGTCTGTCCTGTACAGGCCATCCCCATGAGGCTGAGCCAAGAGCTGATGGCAGTCGCCGGACTACACGCTATGGAACTAGCTCTTGTAGACCCCCTGCCTGCTGGGATTAAAGGCGTGCGCCACCACTGCCTAGCCAGTGCTCAGTGTTCTAGCAGAGCATCCAAGTAAGGTTCCCAGCGCCCAATGGGTGGGTCACAACAATCTGTGACCCTAGTTCCGGTGGTCCAATGCCTCTGACCTTCACAGGCACCCAAACTCGTATACATACATACATATGCATAGTTAAAAATAAATATTATAAAACCAACTGGGTGTGTACTCATAATCCCAGCTCTCAGGAGGTAGAGGCAGGCAGATCTCCATGAGTTTGAGGCCAGTCTGGTTTACAGAGCAAGTTCCAGGACAGCCAAATAAATAAAAATATTTATTATCAAATATAAATGAAAATTAAATAAAAATTAAAATACTGTAAAAAATAATAAACAACAATAAGAGAAGCTCACTAATGTGAAGCTCATCACCCTGGGTCATATTCTACTCTATTCCCCTGGAGTTTTGAGTCAAAGTTAAAGTTACAGAAGAGGGGGCATGGTTTTCCCAGTAGGGTCAACCTGCAGGGTCTGGAGGTGCTCAGTTTCAGATCTGGGACCTCTCTGCATCCAGGGATGCAGAGGCTTTGGTTGTTGTTTTTCCTTTTCTTTCTTTTTTGGTTTTTTGAGACAGGGTTTCTCTGTATTGTTTTGGAGACTGTCCTGGAACTCGCTCTGTAGACCAGGCTGGCCTCAAACTCACAGAGATCCGCCTGCCTCAGCCTCCTGAGCGCTGGGATAAAAGCAGTATCTAGGTTTCTGCCAGGAGGCCTGCCCTGTTTATGCCATCGTGGAAGGCCCCAACTTTGAGTTCTCCACAGAGGCACATGAGAAGCTGCTCAACAATGGGGACAAATGGGAGCCTTAAATCTCTGCCAGCATCCAGGCTGACTACCTGTACCGGTGACCTGGCCACTTGGCTCAGTCCTGTGTCCTGATGCCCATAAAGAAGCTATGATCCCCCCACTAAAAAAGAATTTTGTGCCAACTGCTTAAAGCATGGTATCATTTTGTCTGAACTATGGTACACAAATTGAATGTTCTGTTGTCATTTCCCGCATCTGAAGTCTTATACACAAAGTATCTATATTCTTATGACATTCTTTGGATTCCATTCATAGGCATGTTATTTAATTACTAAATGCTTTCATATCCAACACAAGGACAACATAAAGGGTTTTAAAAGTTACCGGGTGGGCATATCAATATTTATTGAAATACTGAAAAAAAATCCATTTTATTGAGAAATTCCTGGCAAGAACTGACATGACAATATGTATTTCACTGATACAGTAAGAAAACTGTCAACAAGTAACCAACTTCACATCTGAACACAGCATGGATTCCAGAAGAGCCCATAATCCAAAGATTTAGACATTACAGATCATCTGTTTACAGAGACCAACTACAGGAGACCCAGCTCAGCTGAAAACCTTCCCACTTGAGTCTGCCTTTATGAACAACTGTTGTAATTGATAAGGCAGTTGGCTAAGTTACAGACTGGCTACCAACTGACATCAGACAACTGGCCAGTTCTGAACGGGCCATCAGTGCTGGGCTAGCACTCACCTGCTTACTTTCTGTCCTCGGCATGGATGTGGCTGTTGCTTGGCTTTCTAACCATTCTCAGGGTAAGAGCTAATAGGTTAGTGCCGTAGCAGGACAATTTTAGGCTTAATATTCAGTGGGGAGTACAGTATATTTAAAATAAGGAAATATGGATTTTTTTCAATGTAAAAAAATCCTCTGCATAACCATCCTTCTAGCCTTTAGCCCACACTGATAGACAGGCTAGGGCTTTCTCATTGAACGCTGACATCACCATTCCTTCTCCAAGTGCCTTTAACCAACTTGGTTTTTAGTTGGGAGGAACAGCCATGCTTCTGTTTTATTTAATGCTTTGGATCTGAGCTGATTAATGACCTTCCATCCTTCTTTGAACCATGAAGATAACACTGAGAGTCATTGCCTGGCCCAGGCAATGCGCATCCCTCGTGAGGATGGATAGTAGAGGTGATTAATAATAAATGTAATAAGATAATCAATCTTCTTTGTACACACTGAAGTAATAAACTAATATCTTTGGTATACAACTTACAATATTTGGAAAGGAAAACCAGGTAAGACTGGGTCTTGTTAAAATGACTTCAAAACAAGAAAAAGCTACAAGTCACGTGATTCACAATGGATATTAAATAAGCTACAGAAGGATTATGGGAATTTCCAGACATGTAATCAAGTGGATGGTTTTAATCATTAAGACCCTTCTATACCCCTGAACTATGTTCCACTAACTTGAAGACATGCTATAGTAAACACATATTTGGTTTCTTCAGTCTTGGCTCTATCTTATACAAAGGGGAACCAGAGGAACAATAAATTAGCATCATAATTGTCTACAGTTGAAACTATGATATACAATATAAATAAACTATTCCAAAGCCAGAAAACATTTGAGAAAAAAAATTAAGGGACTGGGAGATACTTTATTTTTTACAGTTTCTACAAGTGATTGTGCTGCTGATCTCAACAAATCAAAGACGAAATGAGAGTCCCATTCTTGATTTTAGTGTCTCACGACATACAGTAATTAAGTACTGTTAAAAATAATTACGAACCAGAAAAGTAACACTAAAAGAATGACTGTTTATGCTATCTTGAAGTGTCAAAGTCCCCCCAACACCCCCCCCCCAGGACCTAAAGAATGTAAACACTATGTTTTGTTTGACTTGAAAGTATTAATACTTTATTTTCAACAAATGCTGATCTACATCTGCACAGCTCCCTTTTAGGACCAGGAAGTAAGGCGAGGCTTCCCTATGTGGCCATGGCGTATTAATACTGACAGCACGTTTGGAGAGTGTGTTTGCCATCTCCGCCCTCCAATAGTTTTGTTCTACAGCAGACTTTGGTCTATAACTTAGGCCAGTATCGTTCTCTTCCATTGCTCTCTGCAGATTACTGTCTTTCCAGGCCATGAGAATCACTGCTTTTGCATCCCAAGTTAGGAGGTGCTCTCTGATTATCAATGAACCTTGCAACAACTGCCTTTGCAGCTCAACCATTCTTTATTTGGCGTTGCTTAGCATGCTTTGACTTTTTGGCTACTTACACTGTGATTATTTGACATCCCAGCAAAAAAAAGTTTAGTGTTTTTATTTTTTAGTGTACTATAAATCCTGATGACTAAACAGACGGATGTATTCTAACAAGTCACTTGGCCAAAATTTCTTATGAAACTCAACCATGCCAAAGCCACAGTTCAGCAACAATAGCAGAATTAAGGTCTAGCTTGCTGGGAGTATTTGTTTAAACTTGTTTGATTTCCTTTAATATTAACTAATGCTTATATAGAAGAGGGATACTGCCTGCTTTGCTTTTTAATTACGAACACACGACAAAACAACTTCAGAATGTATTTAAAATGGCAAGCTGACATATTTATACATTGTTCTTATTAGCTATTGGCAGGTCTAAGACAGACATTCAGAACTCATGATTTAGTGGAGCTACGGGAGGGTGTGGCTGAACAAAGTCCTTAGTACAGCTTCAGGGCTCACGGGTCAGAAGGTGTAGGGCCTTCTGGGAGGAGGGAGGGGCTGCCAAGGCACAGCCCATGTGTTCTTAGAGTCGTTCAGCTTCACCAGGGAGGAATTCTGGACAAGTCCAATTAATAACACCGATCAAATGCTGAAATTTCTTAACAGATCAGTTTAAATACACAAGAATTGTTCTGTCCATTTCTATTCTGATGTGGTGGTATTGGACTGTGAAGTCAATCACCCCATTACACAGGAATCCTTACTCCTTTGGGGATGAGAGGCCTTCAATTCACAGTTTGCAGTACGAATACCCTGATATATCATTTATTTGCAATTAAGTATTTGATTATTATGCGTTTTAAAATTCGGTGTCTTTAAACCGAGTCGTAATTAGCATTTCTAGGAGCAGTTCAGAGTATTATGTTTTCTTCCTCCTCCTCGACTTCCTCCAGTCTTTGTTCCTAGAGCAAGCTTCTAGGAGTGGTAACTTAGGCTCTTTTTGCATGCAGCATCTCAATGAGAAGGTTATTGTAGGGTACATCCCCATTCAGATGCTTGTAGTAGAGGTACTCTTCTGCCTGCATGCTGATTGCCCGGATTTCGGGGAGTCGAAGAAGTAGCTGTCCGAATTTCTCTGTTTGCTGTGGGTAGTTACAAACCGTGTAGTCCAGCAGAGCGGCATTCACCTGTTCCTGGACACCTTCCACCAGCTGGAAGTTCTCAAGATTCTTGACATCTGCGTGTAAAACACAAGATTTCAATGGCGTGTTTTTTTTTTTTTTAAGATTCCTATTTACTAAAGCAATGTTCAGTTCATGGTTGTGTTTTCCCCTTGATATAATGTACGGTTTATATACTGTTGAATATTCAGGAAACCCCACTCACCATGCTTTCTGGAAAAGGGATCGCAAAAGAGCTTTGCAAGATGGTCTTGTTGAAATTCTGCATATACCTCAAACCAATTAGACACCAATGGATTTTGAGCAAGGTCAACTCTTCTCATATCTTACAAAAGGAAAGGCTTGAGGAGAGGGATCATAATATATTGCCAGCAAATGAGTCCCTAGAGAAAGACCTATCTTAAACCAGTATATTACACAATTCATATAATTCTGTATTAATTTTTCTGACCCAAGGTGAAATCTGTGTCCAGGGTGTGATGTAGTTAATTCTAATAAAAAGTGACAGGGTTCTTGTTTCTGTTTGACATTTTCTAAATGATTCTGAAAGCCTTTGCCTTGTCTAGCCTATGCTAATGAACCATCTGGTACACTCCAGTGACTGCCAACTGAAGGTTCACTACTGGGAACTCTCTCAAATATATATCTCAGTGACTAATGATCTTTATCAAATGAAAGCCTTGTCCTTTAGGCAGAATACAAGCCAGGATGTTTGGTGCCCTTTAACCTGAATGTAGCTTCATAAGGCCGACTCTTTACTCTTTTTTCCTCCTGGTCCTGGGTCACGGCTATGAAGAAGCTGGACACAGGCAATTCATCCTGCCTGACTCCGGGTCATCATCTAGTTTTGAGACGTCAGCCCTAGAGGTCCTTCTACATACTGGATAAGAGACACAGTACCACAAGAGTAGGCTCACATACAAACGCACACAGATGATGGCCACGGGAAAGATGGAATGTTGGAATTTCACTTCTGGAGTTTATTTATGTTCACTGTATAACATTTATATGAAGTGTGTATAGAAGCTGCTGGAAAAAATATACAGATGTGCATGAGTTTATATATATATTCCTCACAGAGTTAAACAGACACAGCCATCCTCATCCTTTACTTTCTAATTGGACTAGAATAAACAAGATTCTGAAGTAAACCAAATTACTATGAGAAAATTAGTAAAAGGTTAAATGTGCTAGATGAAAGGTCGTTACCATAGTAACTCATAGCCAATATGTTAGGCGCCGTCAAACTAGCCTGTGCAACGTCTGTGTGTGTTCCTCGTTCCTCATCTCTCCATGAGTCCACAAAATGGAAGGTTCCCTTCCGTGTACCACTGAACTGTGCTTGGAAGGATCCGAGTGTTTGTTTGAAGCATGATCTACACTAGTGCTTCTCTCTATTACCGAGACCCTGGCCCAGATTCAAACCAGTGAGGAATCGGGAAGAAGTAAATACACAATATGGAGACAAAGTCCTAGCTCAAAGTGAGAGAGATCGGAGGTACAAAAATACTTGATTATTGTCTGAGTGGGCAACCAGATGCACGCTACACTGAAGCTTTGTACTACTTGTGGCACTTGGCATTTATTTGACAGCCAACCAAATACTTCATCTTAATGTGAACACACCCCTCGCCCAACACACACACACACACACACACACACACACACACACACACACACACACACACACACACCGTTCCTTTGTGTAGCCCTGGCTGTCCTGGAACTCACAGAGATCTGCCTGCCTTTTGCCTCCTGAGTGCTGGGACTAAAGGTGTGCGCCACCACTGCCCCCCTTAATGTGCAATGTTTTTAAAGTGGGTTTAAATTACTTAATATTTAGAAGTATGGCTACGCTCTAAAGTTATGCTTGGTTCAAAATGAGCAAATGTAAATGATCAGAAACACCTTCAATGTGCTCTCCTTCAGTAGTAAAGAGAACTCTACATTTAGTTAGGTGACAGTGATTGAGAGATGACCACACATTTCATGACAGTGTAAGATGGACATGAGGCAGAGAAGCTGGAAATAGTCGGAGACCAGTTGGTAGGATGCTGGAATTTGAGCAATGTGGAATACACAAGATAAATGAGGAGTTTTGGGGGCAAAGTGGTTTTTTAGATTATTTGTATACTACTGTTCTAAACTGAGCACTGATGAATCTCAGATTATCATTTATGGGTAACTTCTGAGAATACTGGTCCAAATTTGTACTTCCTCTGAGAAGTTCAAAACATTTGCAGTTTTCCACATAGGAGGAAAGTACCTAGGTTAACTATATGCCACCCACCCACAGTTGTCAGGGTTGAATTCACATGACTAAATTAGCATTAAAAGTATGCTGTTAATTGTCCCACAGACTTCTAGGTCTAGGCAGGTGGCAAAGATCCTGATACTTTGAGATTTTCAAGAAAGCAAAGGCAAGCCAGGCATGGTGGCACACACACATAATCTAGCTGCAGCAGGAGGGCTGTGGACTCCGTGCGAGCCTGGAGTACACAGCCAGAACCCAAAAGGGCGAGAGGAAGGGGGAAGGCAGTGTTGAACTGTCTCCCATCTGCTGGCAAGCAGATGCTGGGTCACTGCACTCTTGCCTGCCTCTGAGCTGCCTCCATCTATGAAACTGTCCCTTTCCCTCCAGAGACTGCAAGCTGCTGAGGAGAGGACCACACATTAGTCAGGGCATCCTCAGAAAGAATGCTAGTGACTGTCCCTTTACATTGTTGGTGTATTTTCACAAGACTGTAACTGTGAAGTGACCTTTACTATGATCCTGTGAGCCAGCCTGCTTTCCTTTTCAACTAGAAACTCATTTTTTGAGAAAACTTACATATACAATATTTTCTTTAATTGAAATTTTTTTTTTGATTTTTTTTCCCCAAGACAGGGTTTCTCTGTATTGTTTTGTAGGCTATTCTGGAATTCGCTCTGTAGACCAGGATGGCCTCGAATTCACAGAGATCCATTTGCTGAGTGCTGGGATTAAAGGCGTACACCACTAACACCCAGCACAACTGAAATATTTTAAAGGTTAATAATGCTCACAACCTTTAAAATTACAATGTGGTTAAGTTTTGCGGTCCAAATGGCAAGATTCACTGGTTGGTGTTGCCATTGAGAATCAAGCCTGTAGTCCCTGGGGTCCTGTGTCTCCTGAATCTCTGGGCCTGACAGATAAACCTTGGTTTTTTTTCCCACCCAATCTAAATGGTCTATATAGAGAAGAGCTCACAAGGACCTAAAAACAACAGAGATGGTAAATGTCAAAATATAGGTGAAAATCTCTCCTCCCAGGAAACCGGGTTTGTTTTTGTTTTTGTTTTTTTTTTTTTTTTGGTTTTTTTTTAATGTGGTTTGTGTGTACTTTCTCTTCAGGAAGCGTGACTGCATTCCTACAATAACCACTGAATTGGTGTTTTTTTTTCCCTGTAAGTTTATTTCCTTTCATGAACATTTAAGAATGCAATAGATTTTAAACGCAAGTCCTGAGACTTGCAGTTCCGTTTTCCCTCAGTAAATACTGTGTGACACATCTGGATTGCAGGAGGAAGAGAGTGACACCCACCGGAATTCCCACCAGCTCTGTGGCGTCTTACACCTGATCTCAAACATCTTGCATTTGGCACTCTGTGCTCCTTTGGCATTTTACATAACCTTCATTCTCACACAATTAAAACACTAGTGGCTGTTACAAATTCTGCGTTGGAGACTGTATGTAAACAGGCAGAGGCATCCCCAACCCCTCCTTGCAGCATTTAAAATTTGATGCCTGGCAAGAGCACTTGGAGCTTCCTTCTAAGTATCAATCGCTTATCTATTCTACTTTAGTCACTCGGGGACTAATTACCAACTTTTTCTATGAAGCACATTACGATAAGCTCACAGTGGGGTGCTCAGGGTTTTTTCCATCCTTATTGAAAAGTAGACCCTTAGGCCTTCTGGAATATATTACTGCGCTGCTGACTTCTCCGTCATCGGCAAGATTCGGCTTTCTCTGAAGATGAACCTTGGCCTCCCTGGTCACTGTCACGGGAGAGGCGGCGACCTTGCTGTTGCACATACTTTCAAAGATTGCTCTTTTGCTGAGCAAGGGGCCTGGCGGGCACCAGGACAAGTGTCTTTTCCTGAGACACAGTCTTTTAAAACAGAACTGAGGGATGACGGGATATAAATATGTAGGTATTGTCACGTGGTTTGTTGGCAGAATGCTTTTTCCTTTGATACAGCAGGGGAGGAAAAAAGAATTTTCTATGAGGAAGTTTTAAAAGTATTTTAAGGGGATAAATTTGAATAATTTGTATAAATAATTTTGTAAGAAGTTTTGGAGGTTGGAGAGGAGACTTGCTCTTATATGAACAAAATGCACTCTGGAAAAGAGGGTTGGGGAGAGGAGAGGAGGGAATCTTCCGTGCAGTTGCCTAAAATTAGATTCTATTCCTCAGTTCCCAGTAAACCCTGAAACTCAAAATTTCAAACTCATCCCTATAACCCCTCTACTTGATATATTTGTAGTGATATTCTTATTAACCCAAGAGTTTTTACCAAGTTGAACATACAACTTGATACCTTTAAGCAAATTAGTAACAAGAAATTTAACCCTTGTGGAAGGGCTGTGCTTAACACATATATACCAGCAGTTTCAACGTATGGGTGACTAACCCCTTTTCAGAGTCAAGCGACCCTTTCACAGGGGCCACCCATGACCATTGGAACAACTGATATTTACATTACAATTCATAACAGCAGCAAAATTACAAGGTATGAAGTAGCAATGAAAATAATTTTAAGTTGGAGGTCACCACAACATGAGGAACTAAATTAACATCTCAGCAATAGTAGGGTTGAGAACCATTGATAAAGTGCTTGCACTCTTTACATTTGTAGCAATAGAAGCTCTTACAACTGTGGGCCTTTGTGGTCTACAAAGCACTTCAGCACATCTTACCTTTTCATACATACGTACACAAGGCATGGCTGCCTGAGCCAGATGTTGAAGATACAGGAATAACAGTCCCTAGGTTAAGCAGTCCATTTAATGTGATACAGAGCAGCAGTGGGACCTTGAAACCACATTGGATGGACATCTAACTCAGGGCTCAAGGCTTCTTTGTGGAGATGAGGCTTGAAGAGTTTTGGGTGCTGGGAATCAAACCCAGGTCCTCTGGAAGATCAGTCAGTGCTGAGCCATCTCATCTCTCTAGCTCACTTGTTTTGAAAGGCTTAGGGGTGAACCAAACCAAGAGATGAAAAAAGATGTCCTACAGATAGTGTCCCATCCACAAAACCCGGGAACAAGACAAAAGGAATCCATCCTTGGAACACTGATACCTCACAATGTCTGTTTGAGGGGAGCAAGTGTGTCAGAGAGGGACGGGCTGAAGCCCCCTTATGTGTGTGTCAGGCAGCCTGGATTTTCTCTAAAAGTGGTGTTCGTGCACTTTGTTTTCCAAAGGACACTCTCCTAAAAAGACAGGAAAGCAATTGGCGTGTGCAGGAGTCCGTTGGAAGAGGCTGTGGGGGCTCTGCAGCACCACTCATGGAGGATTATTTATGAGAAGGATGATATGATACACACAACGAAAAAGTCAGAGTTGGAGATAGTGAGGTTTTCAAGATGTCAGTGAGACCCAGGGATTAACAGACAGGCCACCAACACTTACCAGGCACTAATCAACATGCCTAGTTACTTTCTTTAAAGAAAAAAAAAAAAACGCCCCCATTAACTTTTCTTGCTCTCACAGAGAAAATAGTCATATTCCCATTGACATGTGTGTATACATGATGTGGAATGGGCCATGGGCCACAGTCCATGCTCAGAGGTCAGAGGACAACTTTGTGGTGTTGGTTCTTGCCTTCCACTTTTGTATGGGTTCTATGGATTGAATTCCTTATCACCAGGCAAGTGTCTTTAACTGCTAAGTCATCTTTCCAGCCACTATTTTCATTTTTCAAAAGAAAAAATCCCAAGGCCTAGTGCTACATCCGGGAAAGCAGAGCCCTCATTTATGAGCAGGTATGTCTCACCCCGTTCCCTTAAGTCCATACCACAGGACTTCCTTCAGCAGGGTCGGTAACTAATCTGCAGGTGGGGACATCCTGGCTAACCAAACTGTTGACTTTTGAAAGTGTACAATATGTTAAAGAATGCTCCTCCTCACAAACTTAGCGTCTATACAGGAATGCATCAGCTACTGCTCCTGACCATTCAGAGGCAATTCACCATCTTAAATGCCACCATCCATTGTGAACTGAAGACAGTCGAGCGTTGAGGGTGCCTTCAGAGACATCTCTGAATAATGCCTACCCAACCCTCTACACCTGGGCTGTGAGCGTGCCAAGAAGTTTCTGTGTCCTCGGCTTTTTTACATGCAGGCATCAGGGAAAATGTCTAAATGACTAAGACAATTTCATCCCATGGTCCAAATTTGAGTTCAACAAAAATCACTGACAACGACGGTCTAATGTAGTCTTCATGACTAGACCCACAAACAAGCTACTCAAATCATCAACGCCAACTTTCTCATGTGCAAAACGGAATTACTTCCCCATTTTAAAAGGTCACTTAAAAGTAAAACAGCCCTTCAGGAGTGAGCGTTGCTTTCCTGTGCGGATGACATGTGGAGAGGGTGTTTGCTTCCACAAACGTGGAAGGTGGCTACGGTCTTTCTCAGCACCAGTCAACCTGGCCATTTTTCCAGTGGTTGACTTTTCATGAACAAAACCCAGAAATCTCTGAAGGCCCATTTCCCAAAATTAAAGTGAAAGGCAGGAGAAGCACTCAGGGCATCAATCCATTCTCAATCAAAAAGGGATGGGAAAACAAGAAATCTACACTTGTCTCTATTTTGCTATGGACTCAAAACTGCTCCAAAAAAGGAAGACAGAAAAAAGCACCACATAAAAAGTTAAAGTCTATATAGAAAATAAGATGATAAGTTCTGTGCATATTCTGCCTTAACTAAAATTTTCTTGTCTTGAGGAGATGAGTCAGTGGTTAAAGAAAGCACTTGCCAAATAAGCACGCTGAGCAAACCTATACAAATGCTGGGTCAGAGGTCAGGTGTGGTGGGATGCACACTTAATTCCAGCATTTGTGAGGCTGAGGCAGAAGGAGCTCTGAGTCTGCGGCCAGTCTGGTCTACACAGTGAGTTCCAGGACAGCCAGAGCTATGTACAGAGAGCTTATCTAAAAACAAAACAAAAAACAGTAAAAATCGGGTGGGAATGGTGTCCAGCTTCTACTTCCAGTCTCCAAGGTGGAGACGGCATTCCTAAAGCAAGCTGGTCAGCAAGACTAACGCTATCAGTGGAGTGTGGGGTTGACTGAGCACCCTGCTTCAATGAGTGACGTAGAGGAATGACCAACAAAGATCCCTAACATTGACTTCAGAACCCCCGAACCACACACGCAGGGAGGGATAAGACAGAGATGGGAAAAAAAAATGTGCATGGGACTAGGGCCATAATAGTTTGCCTAGCATGTAGGAGGCCATGCTTCCATCTCTAGCAATGTGAAAAAGAAAAATACAATGCATATATGTTTCTAAGCATAATCTAATATGCACAGTCTATACTCATGTGAGATGTGGGTCATCTGTGTGTTCCTTCCCTTATCACCATGGAGGTCCACCAGGTGACTACTGCCCTGATTCTGATACTTAGATCATTTATAACTCTAAGTTCATACCATTGCTAGATTTTGATGGCTTACATTACACATATATTTTTCTAGATATTTTTTCTTGTTAGCTAATTTCTTTAAAAATAAGTGCCTAAAGTAAAGGGCATTTTTAAAAAAGTTGTCTTTCTCATCTTCTACAAAGGCAGCCCTAAGGGAGACAGACATGGTCTTTGCAGCTGGATCCTCCCACTTGGCCAGTACATAGAAGACGAACAAATGTAGCCGCTTCTTGAATATTCCAAACTAGCATCTCCCCCACACACACACAAAGTTTGACACACTCTCATTCTTCCACACTGGATTCACAACAGCCTTCTGTTTTGCATAGAATCATTCCCTAACAGGATGCAACACACACTCCAATCCCATTATGGATTGTGCTGCCTGGGGAAACCGAGTCAGTCGGGAGTCTTGCCAGGTATTCTGTGTGGTGTGCCTGTGTCTCACATCCTTTGAACTCTCCCATGCTCAGCGTCTTCATCAGCTCTGTCAATGCCCATGCTGGAGGCTGCCAAATAAATCTGACTTTAGGCATACTTATGCCCTCTCTACCTAGATGGCTGGGGAGTTCTTAAGTTCACAATGTTTACAACTCAACCAAATCTCCAGTGTTCTAAAACCTGAACTTCTCCTGTCTTTCCTGGGCCAGAATCCATCCAATTACAGATGTCTGGCTGGATGGAGACACACTTGATGCTCCTCTCTGCCAGTGCACACGCCACCAAGTCCTGTTGGATCCGCTTCCTAATTATGTCTCCAATCTATCCTTTCCTCTGTCACCACCATAACTTGCCTTTATTGCTTCAGCAACCTCTTTAACTGTTCTCAATTCTTCCAATGCTGCCTGCCTCCAATTCATTTTCTTCGGGGCAGTCAGAAAGATAGCTTTAAATAGGAATCTGATTGTGTGCCTGAAATTCTCCAATGGCTTGCCACTGCCCTTGGGCTAAAGATTAAAGACATCCATCTAGCATTTACCTCTCTGGTCTGATTTCACCCGTTACCAACTGTTTT